GTGGAGTACACATGACTGTCCCAATCTGACAGATGAGGAGGAAACTGAAACCCAAAGGGAACCACAGAATCTCAGCATTGGAAGGGACCTCAGCTCAGAGGTCATCTAGTCGGACACATACCTCAAAAAAATTTCCTCTCTGAAGTATCGCCACAAAGGGTCATCCAGTCTTCAACTGAAGACTGCCAATGAGGAAGAGCCTACTCATCCCATCCCACTTTGGGATATTTCTAATCATTAAGACTTTCTTCCTAACTTTAATTCTGATCCCTCTTCCATGTGACAGTCCTTCAAATACTAGATATGCCCCTCAACTAAGTATTCTCTTGTCCAGACTAAACATCCCAAGTCCCTTCCACCAATCTTCCTGCAACATGACTTTGACACCCTTCAAACCCCAGTTGTCTTTCTCTGGGCATACTCTGGCTTCCCAAAATAGGGCACCCAAAACTAAACACTATACTCCTGCTCAAAGTCATTTCCAGAGCTGTAACTAGCAATGTTGGCACCCAGGGCAAGCCTCACAAAACGTGCTGGGGAGAAGTGGCATAAAACCCTGAAATAGACTTTTCAAAACATACATGGTGGGGAGCGAGGAGAACCCAGGGAATCGACTCTCACCCAGAGCAGATCCCATCAGATATCACTCTGTGAATGGGAAAGAGAGACCCAGAACACTCCAAGGCCCTAGGACTGGGAAGCCAGTTGCCAGGGAGGTCAGCACGGCGGGCTAGAGGATGGAAGGCGTTTTCCATGAACAGGGCAGGGCCACTCTAGGGAGGAACTGTTATGATTGTTGGTAGGGAAGAAAGAGCAGCTTCCTATTTTAACTAGTTTTTACGCTAACTAGGTGCTGAGTCAGTTGTTTTTGCATTGCTAAAGGATATGTGTTTTAAATAACCCTCCAGATTTCAGTGCCCTGAAACAAAGACCTAGTTATCTCAAACATGCCCCTTCCACCACTTGTGGCTCTGAAGGAACAAAGCTGGATCTTGAGCCCAGGTCTCCTCAAAGGCATTATAATACAGTGGAAAGAATACTATTGGCTCTGAAAGTCCTAGCTTAAATCCTTCCTCTAACACTTACTACTTGTCCCATCTTGTCACTTACTATCTCTGGACCTCAATTTACTCAACTATAAAATGATGGGGTTGGACTGGATGACCACTGGGATCCCTAGATCTCTTTTTTTCCTTTTTTTTTTTTTTTTGGTGGCAATAGGGTTAAGCAACTTGCCCAGGGTCACACAGCTAGTAAGCGTCTGAAGCCAGATTTGAATTCAGGTGCTCCCAAGTCCAGGGCCATTGAGCTATCTACTACACCACCTAGTTGCCCACCCAGATCTCTTATCTTAAGAATTCACTGAGGGGCAGCTAGGTGGCCCCGGAGTCAGGAGGACCTAAGTTCAAATCGGGCTCCAGACACCTGACACTTACTAGCTCTGTGACCACCCTGGGCAAGTCACTTAACCCCATTGCCTAGCCAAAAACAAAAAAAAAATTCACTGAGCATTGACTATGGGACAGGCACAGTGCTAGCCAATGAGGGCAAACAGTGAATAAGCCAAAGACACGGCCCCTGCCCTCCAGAAGCTTATAATTTAGTATAAGCAATCAAAGTGACATTTATAAAACCACAACAAACAATACAAGGTGATTTTCTCAATTATGAGATACAGATCTGAGGTGAGGAAAGAGTTCTTAAAAGATGAGATAAAAAAGGCTTGGACCTTTGAGGGGAAAAAAAGACTTGGGTTCAAGCCCCACCTTTGCTACTAATTCAGTGGCATGATCTTAGACAAGTCAACTTCCTCTATGTAAAATGGTGGGATGTTCAGCTTATTTTTAGAACTGTATGCATCAGTGAGATCACAGAGGGACTGGATGCTCAAGGAAGGACTCAAAAGGAGGTGCCAGGACTCAAGCTTAAAAGAATATAGAATTTGGATGGATGGCAAGGACTGGAAGATGCCTGCGGAAAACTGTGTTCTCTATTTCTTCATCTGACACTGGGCAGATTTGGGCGGGGGGGGGGGTTGCTATTTTCTGTAAAAATGGTTCACTTTACTAGAATTATAGAATCATAGCTCTAGAGCTGGAAGGGACTTTAGAGGCTACCTGGTCCCACCCTTCTATTTTACAGATAAGGAAACTCAGGCCCAGAAGTATAAAGTGGTTTGCTCATATGGCAGTAAGTGGCAGAGGAAGAATTTGAACCCAGTTCCTCTTATTCCAAATCTGCCACCTTCTCTACAGCGCTGCCTCAGATCATGGTTCTCTATTTCCCAGCCTCAAAGATAGTACTTCCACTATAACTCGAACCCACCACCCTCTCCTCCACTGCCTCCTCTTCCCCTGGAGGAATGAGTATCTCTTTTGTTATGAAAAATCTCCAGGGAAGATATGTAAAGCAAAAATGACCTTCTTACTCTCTTGCTCACATCTTCTGGTGCTTCCCTATTCCCTCTACGATAAAATAAAAACTCCTTGGTTTGGCATTTAAAACCTATCCCAAACCTTTCCAGGCTTACTACAAACAAATTACTGCTTTTCAGGAACTCTATGTTCCAACCCAAAGTGGGAAATGTACTCCCTCCTCACCCCCCTACTCTCAGATTGCCTCACGTCTGTCAGGTTCACTCAGCTCTCATGCCATCTTTTGTCTTTGGCAAATTAAATGAAAGGCACTTTGACTGACCCCCAAGCTTTCCATAACAGCAGCAAAGGCCCATCTTTTTAATACAGACATTTGGCCGGTGTCACCACATGGCATCAAGACCTGGAACATCACTGCCTCCAAAGAAGTAACAGAGGGACATCACTCAGAGGGCATGGAGAAGTGCACGGTGGGTGGGTGGGTAACAGGGGAACTCCAAAGATGAAAAATGGCAAAGGATGCATTAAAGTATAGCATTATACAAAAGGGAAAATGGACTGGTCATGTGGAGAGTGAGACGTGACAGATGAATGGCCACTGGTGCCCCAGCTATGTCACTGAGGGAGGTCTCCAGTGTACTAGCTGACCCCTTGACAACTGGGGAGTCATACAGGACGGGCAGGCAATGAAAAGCCTGCAATCTGCATCCTTGGGGGAAACACCCAATTGAGATCACAAAGTCATTCAAGTTTAGGGGTATCTGTCTGTAGGATCTATTTCCCTTTGGTAGAATGTACGAGAGCAAGAATTCCTTTCGGTTTTCTTTTAACCACAGTACCTTATGGTGCGTAATAAATATGACTTGGATAAGACTGGATGAAGGAAATGCTCCCAGCTACCCTCATCCATCCATCTATCTAAAACCAAGCAGTTAATTCTTCCTGGTGTCTAACTTGGAAGCTTTCTGGTACAGCTTTAAACCCATCTCACCAATCACAATTATTCACATCTGCTAACAAGAACACCAATCAGCCTAAGGCCTAGAACCTTATCTCTGGAGAACTGTTACAGGTGGAGAAAATGAAGCCCAGAGAGGGGTAAGCCTTGCCCCAGAAAGTTTCAGCCAGTCAGATGAAGGGCTGGGAATGGATGCCTTAGCAGCCAAGCTCTGCCCAATCTTGCTGCTTTCTCTCCCCTCTGCAGGCCCTCCTCATTTTCCTACAGCCTGATCCCACCCAAAGGTTTCCAAGACCACATGCAGACCCCCTTCCAGCCCCCAAAACTCAGCCTGTCTCCAGCTGTGGTTTAAAGAACAGAGGGAAAGATCGACTTGGAAAACTCTTGGAAGGAACAAAAGATAGAAAGGGGGGCATCTGAGGACGGGGAGGGATAAGTCAAAGGAAAGGGGCCCTCCTTCCTAGAGAAGAGTTGAGATCAGTCCAAAGCTGGAGGCCCCCTTCTCCCTAGACCATTATTCTGGGGCCCTGGGTGAATGGGGCATCCTATATCTCTCTCCTGGTAGTTTTCTGGTGGCTACAGTTAGTGAAGCAGGAAGATGTAAAATTTACAAATCCAGTTAGGATGTCGTTGTGGGGACCCTTAACCAGAAAGAAAAGAGAAGACAAAAACAGAAAAAGACCACTTAGGTCAGAGAAAACTCTAGAATGTAAAACTTTTTCATTTTGAAGATTACATCTAAGTCATTACCTATCACCTCTGCTTAAGGAGGGCCTTAACTCCAACAACAGCCTGGAGTCAGGAAGAACCGAGTTCAAAACTGGCCTCAGACAGTTACTAGCTGTGTGACCTTGGGCAAGTCACTTAACATTTATCTGCCTCAGTTTTCTTATCTGTAAAAAGGAGCTAATAATAGTACCTACTTCCCAGAATTGTGAAGATCTAATGAAATAATAATAAAGTGCTTAGCACACAGTAAGCACAATAATAAATATTAGCTATGATAATAATAATAACTATTATTTTAAATATAATAATTATTAGTCAGAAGGGGTCTCTCCAGGGATTCTTAATCTTTTTTTCATCATGGACTCCTCTAGCAGTCTGTGTATCCCTTCTCAGAATAACGTTCTTAACTGCATAAATACAATATATAGGATTACAAAAGAAACCAATTATATTGAAATATAATTATCAAAATATCTTTTACAAACAAGTCCAAAGAACCTCAAGTTAAGAACATTTATTCTAGAAGTCTATAGGGAAGAAGAAACCACCACATCTCCAGTTTCAGTGTTTTTCTGGCCCTTGATAGAAGAATTAAAAGGCAGTGGGAACTTGGACAGAACCAGTGAGAAAGCAGACATTCCCTTGTGAAGTTTTCCCTGGAGACCCCATCCCTGGGCCCACAGATGGCCACAGCACAGTGCATAAGTGCCTAGCAGGCTGCATCTCATCAGACAGGGGACTGTGATTCATTTCCTCCTAATTCTGGCTGTGGTCAGAGAAGTCACCAGCCTCTACTCCCCACCCAAACATCCCCGTACATCCCTGTACATCCCCTCCTATCCCACCCCCTTTCACACATCCCCAAACACAGCAGACTCAACCTCAGCAGGCCGCTGAAGGAGGAGACCAAGCAAGATAAGGAAAAGGCTCTTACTCACCACCAGTTCATGGCTGGAAGGAGGAATGCAGGGGGCAGCCACCTACACAGGAGAAACAGAAAGGACAAGGTTAGGTTCCGTCATCAGCATCACTGGTGAAAGCCAGAACCAGCGGAGCCTCCCAGAGCTCGGGTCATCTATCTCCCCCACCCCCAATCCAATCAAGTCCTTTTCCTGGCCCAGTCAAGTGGGTGCATGGTTACCCCAGCTGAAAGCTCTTCAGAGAAGGTGTTGTGATCACTTCCTTAATCCCATTATCTCCCACTCATTATGATCTCTAAGTGTTCTTTGCCTTGTCTCCATCCCCTTCAGCTGTGTTCCAGGTGGACGATCCCACCGGTACCCACCGGTAAAAAGAGGACTCTCAAATTGTCCCTTAGGCCCCGACAGGAGTCTGGCTTACTAAGAGACCTTTGACAAGCAGCTGAAACTCTCTGAGCCTCCGCTGCCTCTTCTATAAAATAAGGTGATTCTAGACCACCTGTCCTGGCCCGCTGCAGCAACAGGGTAAAGTCTAAGGACCTCTTCTTAGAATGATGTTTTTAAATGCAAAAAGTAAAATATACAGGATTACAAAGGGAGTCAATTATGTGAAATACAGTTATGATTCTATAGAATCTATATTATATATTATACATATTGCATATATCATATATATATAACATATAGATATTTTCAATGCTCACAGACTCTGGGCAAAGAACCTCTGGACTTGATGATTCTCAAGTGCCTTCCAGCACTCTCAGCATGTGATTCTGGGAAAGATGCACGAAAAGAGCCAATGAATGACTTTTTAAAAACCATTCGGAAAAGTGCTACACAAATGTAAGGAGAGTAAGACTATAGAGTTAGAGCTGGAAGGGAACTTAGAGGCCTTCAAGTCCAGCCTCTTTATTTTTACGTAACAGGAAAATGAGGCATGGAGAGAGGCTAAGGGATTTGCCCAGAGTCACAGGAGTAGTGAACAGTAGAAAATGGATGAAAACCCAGGCCTCTGACTTCCAATCCAGACCCCTCTCTGCTGTCCCACATAGCCAGTATCATTGGCCTTATTAAAATCCAGCAAGATTCAGAGTGAAAAGGAAAGAAGAAAACAAGTACCTACTATGTGCCAAGTAGAATACTAAATACAAATGTGTCACTTGATCTGAGCAAAAGGGAGGGAAGATGGGAAGGAAGGGAGAGGAGGGAAAAGGAGATGAGGAAAGGAGAGGAAGGGAGGAAAGGGGAGAGGAGGGTAGAGGAAGGGAGGGAAGGGGAGAAGAGAAGAGGGAAGGAGAGAGGAGAGGAAAGGAGGGGAAAGGAGAGGAGATGAAGGGGAGGGAAGGGGAGAGGACAGACAAAGAAGGGAGAGGAGGACAGAAGAGGAAGGGAGGGAAGGAGAGAAGAGAAGAAGGAAGGGGAGAAGAGAGGAAAAGAGGGGAGAGGAGAGAAGGGAGGAGAGAGGGAGGGAGAGAGAGGGAGAAAGAGAGAAAGGAAGACAGAGGCAGACAATGAGGCAGAGAGACACAGGGACGGAGGGAGAGGGAGGGAGCTCTCTACTCTTGTGATAACATTCCCCCCGCCAGTCAGGGCAGCCAAACCATTATCCTGACAATTAGCAGGGCCATTTATCAGAGCCTCTCAACTTGTTCTTTATTTCCAGCCCAGGACACGTTTTTCTTGGAGCTCAGTCCTCAACCTTGGCTCTGATTTCCCAGGCCAGCCGGCAGGGGAAGGGGGATGAAGGGGGAGACTTTCTCTCTGGCAAGCGTGTCTAGGAGCCAGTGCTGGGCACAAGCTGTGGCCGGTCACATCATAGGCGGCTGCCCTGCCTCAGTCTCAGCACCGACCCCCAGCTGAATGTCTAAGAGGAAAGGGACAACCAGGCAGATGTGGAGAAAGTGTGAGTCCATCCAACTCAGCTGCTGTCCCTGAAACCCAGGCTCTCAGCACAGCAAGGGGAAGATTTCTTTTTTATTCTTCACTTGCACCAGTCCCTCCAGCCTGGACCCTGGAAGCTCCTTCTTGGGTCCCACTGCCCACAATCCAGATCACGCCAGGCAAGCACATTAGAGCGACCCAGAGCAGCACCCACACCAATACTGAGGGGGCAGACCCCAGACATTGGTGGTACTAGACCAACTGTGAGAAGGAAGCAGGAACCAGTGAAAAGAGCCCCTGTCTAGGCATCCGGAACTCCTTAGTTCTTATCTCAGCCCTGCTACAAGCTCACAGAATGTTAGACCTGGTAAAGATCTTAGAGATCACCCAGCTCCAGCCATTTCCTTTGAAACTTGAGGAAACTGAGACCCAAATAGGTAGTTTACCAGAGAATCCCACACTCAGTAAAATGGTAGACTTGGGACACCAGCTCAGCCTTGCCCAATAACTACAATCTCTTACTATGGGACTCCAGGGCAGCCCATATAGCTGAGCTTCTGTTTCCCTTTCTGTGCAATGGGTTTCCTCCAGAGAAATTCTGTGAGACCAGAAATCAAAGGGACCTTGAAAAAGGACCATCATTTTGACTATTAACCATACTTGCTCATGAATAAAGGCACTTAGGTAAATGTACTTCCAAAAGTAAAAAGGTCTCTCTCTCTCTCTCTCTCTCTCTCTCTCTCTCTCTCTCTCTCTCTCTCTCTCTCTCTCTCTCTCTCTCTCTCTTTTTCCTCCTTCCCTCTAGGCTGGGGGCTCTTAGCCTAGATTATAGATTTCAGAGGAGCCCATAAACTTGGATAAGAAAACCATCACATCTTTATTTTCACTAACCTCTAAGTGAAATTTAGCAAATCCATCAATTATTTAAAAACATTATTCTGAGAAGGGGTCCATAATCTTTAGCAGATTGCCAAAGGGATAACACAGAAACAAGATTAAAAGCCCCTGATCTAGACAACCAGTCAGGAAAAGAGCCAAAGAGCCGCATGGGGGAGGGTGTGCAGAAAGGAAGGTAAGAAAGGGTCTGGGGAGTTAGGCTGACTCGCCAGACCAAACCTCTACCAGGGGCAGGGCCTTGAGGCCACATGTGGTCCCCTAGGTGCTTAAGTGCTCAAGCCCTCTGAATCTGGTTAAAGGGCCACAGTTGAGGAGGTCACCTAGAGGGCCACATGTGGCCTCGAGGCCTCAGGTTCTTCACCCCTGCATCTAGGCCCTTTTGCCTAGGATAGCTCCAAGAGGGTATGTGAAGCCCATTTCTACAGACAACCACCTTCTCTATCACCTCCCTTCCTCTGTCTTCCTCTCCCCTGGGCCATAAAGAACAAACCTTGCTCAAACCAGCAAATCTACGACCAAAACTCTGGGTCTGTGAGTTCTAATCTCAGCTTAGTCAGCTGTCTAGGACTCATTTCCTCCCTTAAAGAAGCCTTTGACCATGCCCCCACCCCTAATCCCACCAGGTCTGGGGAAGGAAGGAGAGGAGAGGGAACACCTTCCAAAACCACTCTCTAAGTAAACAGCCCACTTCTAAGAATCACCCACCTTCCAAGCCGAAGAACAGGACTGAAGGCAGATTTTAGAAAGCATCCCAACTATGTACGGAGGGGAAATGCTGCCTCCACCTCCCTGAAATCTTTCTGTAAAGATCACTTTTACCCTTGTGCTAAAATGGTGATTTTTAATCCCCTTGGGGTTTAGTGTTGTCCTTATAGTGTAGTCAGGAGAAGAATATTAGATCAGAGTCAAAAGAATTGGGTTCAAATCACAGCTCTGCTTCCTCCTAACCATATGGTCTTGGTCACTTCCCCTCCCCCTCTCTGGGCTTCAGTTTACTTGTCTTTACCATGACAAGTTGAACTAAGATCTTTTTTCAGTTCTAAATCCTATGAGTTTGGCTTGGGGAAGATGACTCTCCTCAAGCGGAGGTATGGGTAGAGAGACAGAACAGATAATAGAAGCCTTCTGAAATGGATGAGAAAACAGGGATATCCTATCTTAAAGAAGGAAGATGAGGGACTTTCTCCAAAGCTGAGAGCACAGCTCAGGTGTCCAACCCCATTACTCCAGGATTTCTATTGAGTTCTTAGGACAAAGGATCCAAATGGGAGTGGGAGAAGATGGGAGGAGAGAAGCCTTTAGAAAGAGGTGGTCCCACAGGGAAGATAGAGTGCCCAAGGTCAGGCACTCAGATGTCTGGGTTCCACTCGTGACCCACTGCTCCCCAGCAGCCTTCCCCATCCCTCCACCCCACAGCTGTGCATTCCACACTGGCCGGACCGCCGGCTTTGTTTTGTGTTTGGGTGTTTCTTCCCTTTCTTTTTTTTCTCTTCTTTTAATGGAGAAATCTTTCCTTAAAAGGCCCTCTCCTTCCCTCTGGCGGCTCTGGCCCCTGTCCACTGGCTCTGAGGGCTTGGAATGTGCCAGGGAGGGTGAGGGCCCCCTGCCATGCTGGTGTTCTCTGCTTCACATACTCCAGGGGTGCTTGAGAGCATGTCCCTTCATCCTGCCTCTTTTGGTCCCATCCTTTAAATCCTTCTCCAGGCCAAGGGAGAGCAGATAACATGAAGCAACGGGGTCCAGGCTGGGAGAGGTGGGAGCCTAGAGTTATACATGCTCAGTCAGCCACTACCCCAAAGAAAGTAGCATACCTGGGTTCTGGCTCTAGCCTTTGAACCCTGAGCAAGTCTCTTCTTCTAGCTTGGGCCTCAAATTGGGACACAGAACTGGTCTTCCCTCCTTCCTTGGCAACCACCAGTTACTGAAGGCATCAAGAACAAGCCAGAAAGAAAAGGTAAGGAGACCACTGAAAAGGCAGAATAATCCTAGGCCACAGCTAGGGTCACAGTGACTGTGTACTGGAAGCCTCCTCTAATGCATGGCACTGAATAAAGATTCAATTCAGAAGATAGCGGATTGGTCCACAAGCGCCCCTAGGCATTTATGGTCTGAAGTTCAAGGCAGCATAGAGGAAACTAATATATAGGATAAGATCTGGGAGACAGAGATGAGAACCTGAAAGGTGGTAGACAGAAGGCTGGGGTACCCAAGCCTCCCAGAAGAAGGGCAAGGATTGACTCTCTAAAGTCGTTAGTGGAGGGCAGCAGCAACCTGGACTCTTC